GTGGATTTGTTAATCAAAATATCAAAGTGTTATAGAAAACACCAATTATTTTGAGTAAGTTAGCATTGAGATGTCATAAATAATCAAGTTCTTTGGGAAAACTTAAGTTGTCAGGCTTTTGTGGCTTTCTGGTGAATCTTATGTTATTGTTAGTGTCCCTCCATAGTGCTAGCAACTAACTACACTGTCCTCTAAAAAACAAAAACATACTGCACTGACAGGCCAGCAAAATCATTATTCAAGGTTACTCTAAAGAATAGGTTCAATTTTGCATTTTTTGGTCAATTGAAAATTTTTGAATTGATTGCTTCCCTAGATACATGAAAAAATAGAAAGTTAGAAAAGCCTCACAAATACATTGAGAATTCAATATATAAAAGAATAGTCAATGAAATTACTCTTTTCAAACTCAGAATTATTCTTAACACAACGGTGAGGAAAGAGAATACAACTTTTTTCTCCTGGATAGAGTTTAATGCAGGCTTAATCAAATTAGAGGAAGCTATTGGAAGGGAATCTCATGACCCAAGGAAAAGCCTTCAAAAGGGGGGAATATGGATGTCATCTTAATGCTCCTAATGATAGCTTTATGGAAGTAAAGTTTCAAGAAAAAAGAAAGACAATAAGCTTTTATTTTTATATGTTCAGTTTCACGGGCAAGTAGTTAATTTTTATCACAAAATATTCCCATTTGGGAAAGCTTGAGATGTGGCATCCCACTAAAAGGAGTTAAGAGAAAATGGGGAAAGGAGTGGTGAAGGAAGAGGTGGCAGTGGTAGTGGGGGAGGTGACGGCGGCGGAGGCGGCAGCGGCCGTGGTGGTGGTGGTGAATTTTTTATTTGTGGGACAACCATAGGTCCATTGTGCCACGTGGCAGTTCATGCACTGATCTTCTAGACCATTGTTGAGGCCTAAAAGGAGACCTTCTATTCATTCCTTGGTATGGTTGGGACACAAGGGTTGGCCTTTGAAAGGTTAAAAACGCATGATTTTTAGGATAACAACAGGTCCTGTAGGGTTAAAAATATTATGAAACAATCTTATTGGAGGGGGGAGGGCCTCCAATATCAGGAATTTGCTCCTCATCTAATAGTTACTGTTGTACAATCCAAATTACACCAGATTACATAACAGCTTCTCATTATGTATAAAAACTACAACTTGCTATGCTTGATATACCTTGAAATAATTGCTTTATGTCTCATATATTAAAAACAAGGAAGCAAAACCCTACCTTTAGCATCTTCGTTCCAAAATGTTCCATGTACAAATCTAGCGAAAAGACAAAGTTAGTCAGGATTTTGCAAAGCTGCATTTAGAGGAAGCACAATATTGTCCTATTAACTGCAAATAACTGATTGTAACTGTAGATGAGCCTGACAAGTCAGTTCATCCAAATTCCAAACTTGCATATACTTAATTGGGAATGCCTATCATCTACTAAATGTAATGTTTAAGTTCATACTAGTGGATCTCTTGCTGTTAGGAACTGTCATCAAATTTCTGTGGCATATATCATGCTGTATGTTATTATCGTGGATCCCTGTTTACATCTTTATATAGCAGATACCGTTACCGGGTCTTGCCAAGTGCAGCATACCTAAAATTGTAGTGAAAAATATTAGGCAGCCAACAAGATCAGGCTCACATTGCTAGAAAACTTAAAGAAGAGAAGCATTTCGACTTTCCAACCTGAAAAAAGAAAGAAGAGAGAGATTTTAAGTTCCTAACCACTGCGGCACAAATGGTGCCATCCAAATAACATCACCTGATTGAACTGGGTACCTATTAACAAGAAAAAAAAAAAAATAGAGAGAGAGAATGTGTAAGAATGGGCTTCTCCAACACTGGAAATATAGCAGGCAGAACAGAGAGTAGGATGTGAATTGCAAGACAGCAGGATGAAGAATTGGCATCAAAGTTACCAAACTGTCCAAGAAAATGGTCACTTTCACCAGGCCTCAAACATTCTTACCAGCTATCACCCAAACGATGAATACCCTGTCCCTCTTGAAGCAACAAGCCATGCTGATTATAATGAACCTCCTGCAAAAGGCATAGAAAAACATATAATACATTAAACAACATTCACCTTACCACTTTGTGGGACTAAAGTGATCACCAGATTAATTACAACATAAAAGGGAGAAATGAGATATATAACAGTTAAATGCGGCAAATACTCTCTGTACAGTTTCAACAGATCCCGTTGCTAGAATTCAATGAAGCTTAGATTGTTAGGGTCTATATGCTTCATATCAGCAACACTAATTTTCCTTATTTACTTTTCGTTTTGAGAATGACAAAAACTGTAATCAAATTGAAGCTTTTAATACGTAAGATCATCAATATACAACAGTGTTAATTAGCCGGAAATAAACATATACCTTCACATTATGGAATTCTCCATGTTGAAAATCCATTATCTGCACATATGAACAAAAAAATCAACCGTATGGAATTGAAGTATAACAGGATTTTGTATTCTTTTAGTGAAGAAGATTCAATGATACTTTGTGGTTAATTGATGCTGATATGGACACATACATTGAGTTTAGTTATAACTTACATGGATATTGAAGTCATAGAAAAACATACTTTGTGGTCAATTAATGCTGGAAAAAGGTTCCTCAGTTGAAGGACCTGTTAACAAGTTTTACAAGGATGAAGGATCATATTGCAGTTTAGTAATATAATTACAAACAAAAAGCAGAGGTTGTCATGAATATTTGAAAAGCAAAGGCCCCAACTTGTGCTTGTTTTCTTGAAGGAACAACTCGCCGGTAAGCAGTTCAAAAGCCAGTACAACATAATGAAATTGCGAGAGAGAAAAGTATAACAATGGAACAGCCAATGAAAAAAGGGAGGTAAGGATTACCTCACCTTCACCAGGAGTTTCTAAAAGTGGC